TTGGTACCACTGGCTGAATCGACTGTAGGATCATTTCCGCGATGTGGTCAAGCTTGACTGGCTGGAGATTGACATCGAGATGAGCGGCCTACGTGATTGAATCCAAAGCAAGCCATCTATCATGTCTACAAAAAGATCAGAACCGTTTGACTGGCGTAGTGTGGCGCAAACATAGTGTTAAAGTAGAGCAGTATAGGAGATCACGGTTTTTGATGTGATAGCGCTTGCTTAGTCGTATACATACTATATGTTTGCTTTAACGATGACTGCTTGAAAGTACTATTGTGTATAACAAGAGAAGGTTATTTTTAAAGCAACAATTAGTATTGTCTTCTTTGGTGGTCCTCCAATTAAACTTCCAGACAATATCAATGACTTGTCGATACTGATGTAAAGAATTTTTACGTTGAAATATACAAGTGACCTATAACTAACTGCACGTCGGTTTTATGGTGGCAGAATAGGAAACATAAGTTGAGTTCTGTTATACCATTTTAAACATGTTTTAAGTTTCGTTTTGTTGTTTTGTTGTTTCTTACTTATTGTTATCCAACTTGTACCATATTTAAGTCACGAAAACATTTGCCATCAGTTTTAGATCCACACTTAATACAAAATCCAATTTTTATATGTAGTAACCACAAGCACAAAACTTAATAAAACCAGTTCTGAATAACATATGCATGCAAAGACAGATCAAACAGATCTTGTTACAAAACAATCACTTTCAACAATGAAATTTGCCAAATCAGGAAGTCAGATTATATTTGTGACGCAGTATCGCCAAATGCTACAAATGAAATAAAATGGTAAAAAATACAAAATGTTGGTATAATTCCAGCCCAAAATTCACCTTTTGATATTTTAAGTATTTTACTATTGAAAGAAAACTGTATTAAGAAAAAAGCAAAGATTAAGTCCCACCCACCCGGCCCAATCTAAATTGTTATGAATTTTTCATTCCAGGTCATATATTTTAAATATTCTATTGTTTAGAGAAAACTGTAAAGAAATATTAAACCCCACCCACCCGCCCTGATCTGAATTATGATTCATTCGTTGTAAGATGGAGGGGCGGAGCTTAATTGCAAAATGCATATTTTTCTACGAAATTTACCATTTTGAATGTTTTTTCTCTTTATCAAAAGAAAATTACGTAAGTTTAAAAAAACATGCCTAATATAAACCCCGCCCACCCACCCCATCTCAGTTGTGATGATTGTTTTTATTCATCATGAACCGGGAGGTGGAGCTTAATTACAAAATCTATATTTCTCTAAAAAAAAATACCATTTTGAATATGTTTTAAGTTTCTTGTTATGAAAAGAAAATTAGATATATTAAAAAAGCAAGGCTAAATATAAGCCCCGCCCACCTGCCCGATCTCGGTTGTGATGATTTTTTTATTCGTCCTGAGCTGGAGCGGAGTTCAATTGCAAAATCCATATTTCCTTGCAAAAATGTACCATTTTAAATATTTTTAATGAAACCAATTCTGAATAACATGGCTGCAAAAAATTAGTAACAAATAAACCCACTACAAGAAAGGTTTTGATATTAAAAAACCACTCTACCGGTAACATAGAACGAATAGTCTGGGGAGATTATTGGTGCCAAGCTGTGCTGTCAAAAAAATGGAGGTTAGGATGATTATGGTTTTTATTCAAAACAGGTTGTTTTTGTTTATTTTATTTTAGAGTGAAATTCGCCGGATCTTAGTAGGCCACAGCCGGGAACCAATCAGGAAGTTAGATTATATTTGTAGCACAGCATTGCCATATGCTACGAATAAAATAAAATGGTAAAAATACTTAATTCTAACCTCAGATTCACCATGTGATATTTCAAGTATTCTATCGTTGAGACAAAATTATATTACGAAAAAAAAGGCAAAGATAAAGCCCCCCCCCCCGTCTCTATCTAAATTGTTATGAATTTTTCATTCGTCGTCAGATGGAGGGGCGGAGCTTAATTGCAAAATCCATACTTCTCCAGAAAACTTTACCATTTTGAGTATGTTTTAAGTTTCTTGTTATGAAAAGAAGATTAGATATATTTAAAAAACAAGGCTAACTATAATAATATAATAATTCTAAATTACCGGGTAATACGTTACTAATTTTTGTGTAGAAAATAAAATTACTAAATATAATATGGCAAATTCGGGAAAAGGAAAGCTTTCTAAGATGCCTTTCGTGAATATTTTTATTTGATTGATAGTAACTACGAAAGAAGTTATAATTCTTTATTTACAAAAAATCACACAAGCACAGTAATTTGAGTTTTTCGTGTGATAATTTGCATTAATTTTCTAAATTCTAAAACAAAGATGAACGATTTAGACTCAAGTTTACCTACTGTATAGTATGCAACATTTTATAAAGCTCTCTAGACACTTGTTCTTCAAACATTCGCTCCGCTTGTGCCTAAATAAGCTCAATCTATACAATAATATACTATTACAGAAGACTGGCGGAGCCAGAAGGGCCATATAGGGGCACGGTTTATATGTTTTTTAATACGTTACAAGCTACAACTGACATGTTGTAGTATATACTGGAACAACGTACGTTAAATGGATGCTGTACTTTTCCTTTCAGATTATTTTTTAATATCTCTTAGATAAATAAAAATAAATTTGTCATATTACATCTGTATAGTTTATGGTAAAAAAATGGCACTTTCTGCTTTTGTGAAATATTTAATTTTAATATTTAACAAATATTTATGTACTGCTTGGGTTGGAACAATCTTTATAAGCATAAAATGACTGTTGGAATTTGATTTTTAAATTCATATTTCATTATTATGCGGAAGAGTGATAATGCAAATACGAAATGCAATCACTTAAGGATAAAAACAGCCATAAAGGATGAAAGGAAATCGATCGGTAGGCTTGGTTATGGTGGTTGATCTCTTGTTGACAGGAAGAATTCAATCGATTTTTTTCTTTGCTTTTTTTAAAATACTTGACGTTTACACAGATATCTACTTTGTCATGGTTAACTAACTCGTGTTAGTCTTAGAAAACTTAATGCGGCTATTAAAGCGAATACAAGTACTGAAGATATATAAAATATATATTATAACATATTTTGTTGTTTCAGCATTTTCTAGCCAAATGTTTCTATAACGTAATGGCATTTTATTTTTAAATATTTAATAACAGTTAAAGGTAAAAAATTAGTCGAAGGTTATTTCAACAGAACTTCCCCCGCCCCTGAATTACAAAAAAAGAAATCCACCTTTTTCAAAAAAATATAAAATTTGATTAGGTGATTTTTGTGTGAGTACCCTTAGCGTATATATATTTTTGCAAGGCCACGTACAATTTCAATAGGTGCAGTGTAATAAGAAAACAGTATTGCATTCCCAAATTTTCGAGAAAATGGAGTGACTTTCATGAGTCACCCTGTATAAGCAATTCAAAAACTTTTAATGCAATGATAAATCATAAGTATAGATTCATTATATTTTGCACATTTTGGATATGACTTGATAAATTTGAAAAAGCAATAACTAAATATATACCTATTTCCAAAATATCAGTTTCGAAATTTCTTACTTAGAAAAACCGATGAATTTAAACAGATACTGCTATAGAAATCATACTAAACTTCGTAAAGAATATATCTAATGAAATTTAATGTTTAAATTTATTATAGACTACTGAAACGAGAAAGAAACTCTTCTTTTAATAAAAAACTACTTTTATGGTGTTCCATGAATTTGTAGATATCTAAAAGATCCTCATGACAGACTGACTACTTTTTTGGTATTTCTGCTTGTATAATTATAGTAGTTAACCTAAATAGGTTTAATTCATGAACAAGGGAATACTACACGAAAAAAAGTCCCGTTTCCTAGAAAGCAACAACAACTTATTCATCAAAGTGATACAAAAATAAAAAATCATGAATAAAATTTACCCATATAAGGTTAAAACGGCTTTTAGAAAAATAAAAGATAATAAGCAGATATGATGAATGAAATTATTTAACGTTAATTGCAGTGGTCGGCTGTAACACGATATTAAATTATCTGCATAAAATTTTAATTTACATTACAAAACAACGAAGAGCGGAAGGGAAGAGAAAGAAGAAAATTATTTATATGTAAAACACCGCAACGACGATGTATTTACAGGCGATAATAATAATTTGAAGTTATGAATTTTTAGTTATCAAAAATTCTTTCTAACTTCTTGAAAGTTGTCAAATTTTGATTTTTATATACCACTATTTAAATGAGTTTCTGACTTTAAAATGCGTTATCTACAGGATGGTTAAAAAATGACGCACTAACTCTGACACTTTGTTAAGGACTGTAAGAGTAAAGAATACAAAAGATTTAAAAGTTGTTCAGAACCTCACAATAGTGGCTAATTTTTCACTTTTTTAAATTCATCTACCTAAATCTAAGTATATTTTATTTTTGTATGTGGACATCATATTACTGTTAGAAATGTTTTAATAATTTTTCTCGAACTCAAGTTTGTGATTTTAATAATCTGAGTCAGTGAACTATTTTTTTATTTTAATTTTCATACCCCATTCTATTAATATCTTGAACGCCGTAAAAATAATCAGATATTCACTTTTGAAAGCAAAAAAACTTCTACTGATTAAACGTTTTTGCGTAAATCCTACACATTAAGATTATAATTTTCCGTATCAACCGGAGTTAAATTGCACATCTAAAAGCCTCGCCTAATAAAAATTATTCAGCGACATAAACTTAATACACGACGCGAAAATTTTTGTCTTATCAAAACCATAAACGCTAATTAAATGTAAAAACCGCCATTCCTCAAATTATTTACGCTGCACAAAGCTGTGTTAATTTACAACTTTAACAAAATCATCAAAACGCAATTAAACTTAAACAAGTTTCGTCATCCATTGAGATTATCCACACATTCAACTTAAACGAGCAATAAAAAAACCGTATAAACAGTCGTAAATCCTGCACAGACAGCAGGAAAATGAATAATTACTCACTCATCAATTTCCCTGGTCAAGTCTAACGAATTAATCCCAAGAGTCGCATTCGTCCTTCCTTCGTCAAAAGTAAATCCCTGCTGTTTGGTCACAATCGCGTTTTCGTACACCCTGGTGCTTTGAGTATCATCCACGTTTTCGTATTTCTTCTTTTCTTGTTGCACTCTTTTTCCGTACAGTTGTCTGTAGTATTTCTCCTGGTCACCGTACATCCAACACACTTTCCACCATTGCTTACACATCAAAACGTTGGCAGAAGCACTCGCATTTTCACGTTTTAATGCCTGATTCGACATCTCCGTCACACTTTTCATTTTCGACCTAAACCGATCGATCAGACAGGTGCTTTACTAACGCGTGAAATTTTATTGTGCTTAGAAAAAAAGACAAATAAAATTTTAACCGAACTTTTGTCAGAATCTCTTCTCCTGAATTATAGTGAGCTCTTGTTAATCGTGGATTTAAATATAATATTTATTTTTTTTTTACAACATCTTAAATTTTTGATACATTCTGTTAAGATCTGCATCTATTTCTCTATCTCTTTCACTTTGGCGCCAAGCAGAAACTTAAATTTAAAAGCACATTTAAATCATTAATTCTAGTGAAAATAAGAATGACATCATTTCCGCCCTTGAGGAGCACTAGCCCTCCAATGCGCCAGGTCTCGACAACGTGAATTTCTTTGTAAGTCTTGCATTTTCACGTTTCAGCGGATGATTCGACACCCCTGTCATACGTTACCTTTGCCACCTCGACCATTGGATCAGACAGGTGCTTTATAAATGCGTGAAATCCTATTGTGCTTTGTGGAGCATCGCGAGTAACGCAAATAAAATTTAAATCGATAAGCTTTTGTCGAAACTATATCTTATTAGCGCTGAAAGGCAACAGGTTCCTTTTAAGGATGACAGTGGACCGATTAGAGGTTGAATAAATCGTAAGAGGCATCTTCAGCACGAGCAGATTTCGTCTACTGTAATAATCAGCCGCTTTAAATGAGCAGCAGCCGGATTTTTTATGTGGACTGGTTTTTAAAGAGTGTTAATGGTGTGTTTTCGCGCTTTACTATTCACCCTTGAAATTAAAAGTGACGTGGCCATCAATAGCTGCAATTACGACAAGACCAGGAAAGTGTAATTGTGTGTACATGAGCGCAGAAAGTGGTTTTTTCAGGACGCGGATGGAGACGTATTCAATTGGTGGGTACAAAACGTGTAATTAAAGAGGCGACTATGTAAACTGCATTGTTAAACAACAAAGGAAAGCGATGGTTTGGACGAAATTTGCTCATTTAGGTACGATTTACACTATTAACACTTCTTGGTGAAGAACACGGCGCTTTGTCAGTAGCTTCAGTGATTACACAAGAAATTACTCAGCCAATTTTCAGAAACTCCATAATGTATCAAAAATTGTACAAACAAATATAAATATTTCTTCACTATATTTTTATTTCTACATCTTAGTGACACAATAATTCTGCTCATATGAAATGTAATCCTGCTCAGTTAGAAAATATTTTCATTAATAGTCTACATTCAAAAAACTGGTAATTAAAAATTAATTATAATGCACAATGGAGTAATAGCAAAAATTTCGTACAGTTGGGGTAGAAGACAAGATGAGGAGAGTTTACAAAAACGACAAAGTGGTGGTTCTATGGAACAGCTTGACTAGATGTCGTCACAAAAGATTTGGTTTATAAAGAGATTATTATTATTATTATTATTCGTATAAAGAAAAGTACCTATGTTTGGAAACTGAATCACTTGTGAATAACAGGTGCAAATAGAATTTTAAGGACGAGTAAAATTCCTCGCCGAGCGTTGAGAAAAAATTCTGACTAAATGATGTATTCACGTATTCCTCCAACAATGCAAGACATTTCCGGATTCCGGACACATTAAAGAATTCAAACACTCGACTACTGCTCGTAACTAACATCTTCACATGCCTTCTTCAAACTAAAATGCTTAGAAGTTGTCTTAAGATAAACGACGCCGCATGAAAGATTTACAGCTGTTGGCCTAAAGCGGGTTTTCGTTTTTTAAAGGTTTCCACAGGTATGCTGAGGGGAATCGTTACGTGGACGAAAATTGGTCCCAATTAGGTCTAATTTTTTAGCTTTTGTGAGTCCGTCATGGAGATTTGTTAACGTCAAGATAAAAATCCTAGCGATAGCGTGCGCTTAAGTTTAGTCGGGATTAAGCGAGACGATGAACTGTGTAAATGTTGATATTTACTCAGAGACACGTACAGGTGAAACGGTAACGGCTACTTGGAGTTCTAACTGAAAATACAAATAAGGACTGATAAGAAAGTGTAAATAGTGTGTTTAAAGTGTTGCGTTATTCTACGAGTTTGTAGAATTTGACGTTGAAATATGTTGGCACTAGGCAAATTCATTCGGAGATGATTTAAAAATTGTCGTTTGCTCAAGTGGCGCTGAAATGACGAACAACAAAAAAGTGTAAACTGTAAATTTACATAAATCTCGTTTGCTTGTGCAAACAGTCAAAAATTTGGACAGCTTGTATACCACATGCTCCGGTAGCGAGTTCATCTTATATTTGTAACCAACATGACAGGTTGATTAAGTTTAAGAAGATTAAGGAATTACTGGAGATCCCTTACCTCGTTCTATTTTTTTGCCGACAACAAATATAAATCGAAAAGGTAACAAATGCAAATTTTTTTTTCGTATATTAAAAACATTACTCAAGCTTCAGTAAAGCTTGAAAAAAATGTTATTATTTCACTCTCGAGTTAATGCTCTAAGAAAATTATCCATGGTCTGACCTAACCTTCACTAACAGCATTTTAAACTTCTTGTTTATCAGGTGTGAAATCAAATCATTTATGCAAATTTGCTTAAGTATCATCTTTTAATGTATTTCAAATAGTTCTGCTTTTAAAAACTCCAATAAAAATTAGTTAAAATATTTAAAACTACACTTGAACATCCATTAACATGTTGTTAACAAATCGGTTTTATTAGTAATCTACAAAAGTTCATGTCATTTTGTAAGTTGGTAAACTTTACGACGTAAACAAGAAGAATCAATTTATTGGACCAGAACTGATTTCAATTCTTTTCGTTAAATTTCATTATTGTACATACTATAATCGAAGAACAAATATTTCGCATTAGTTTTCCTTCAGTATTATAACAAGAGATTCAATATGCTTGGACAAACACAATAAGTAAAGTTACTTTCATATAAGTGAAATGGATAACTTGTAATGCACCCCTTAACCCGTGAAGTCTTGCACAATAAAACGTTATTAAAGCTTTTCAGTTGAGTGAACATCAGTGCTTTGTCACTTTAACCACCTGCTCGCGACAAAACCTCAATATATACCAAGGAACTTTAAAACTAAGGATTTTGATATTTTTTAGAACTGCCCGTATACAAAAGTCATCAATTTCTTCGACAGAAAAAAGTATTCGAAAATTACATCTGAAATTTCAAAGTTTGGAAATCGTCTGCTTAACAAAATTGCCAGGATACAGACGACACGACCAGAAAATATGGAAAAAGACATGAAACAGTCAAATTGTCACACATGTGATGTTCAACGTAGTCGTGAGCTGCGTTCGCTCTCAGTAACTCACTGCAGGAGTCGTTTTTATTGTTTGGGAGGTATAGAAAAAATATGTGGTACTGTTCTGAATTATAATAGTTCATGTTTTTGTAATAAAATGAACGGATGGAGATATTTTTGATTTCCTTTTGCATGTAGCGGATATCGAACTGGGGTCATTTAATCTCAAAAAAACAGGTACTTTTCCCCACAAAACTTTTCTGTTACGGTCGATTTGAAATTCTCTTGCGGAACAAACGTGAACGTTATACTCTGTGAACGATGGGTGTACACTGTACATATAAGATCTAGATTTCAGAATATTTGCTTCCGTCATGGTACGAAGACATTGTTTCATAATATCCCTTGCTTGAATTATTGGAAGTTAATATACTATTGTGAAGGTACGTAGACCACTAGAAAAGACCAAGATTTGTTCAATTAAAACAGCAAGTATTTTAATTTTTTTTTCTATGGCTGATCCAATATGTGCACTACAATTAAATTACTGTGCTGCAGCAATATCAATTTTATCATCACCAAGTAAACGTAAAAGTATGTAATCAATTATTTCATATTACATCATATTTATAAACGAACAAAATTAAGGTGCAATCGTACTTGTGATTTCTTAATCCACTTTTATTTTTGAAGTTTAGGTATACATCTAGCTTTTTGGGAAAAAATTCAAAACTGTACCAGAAAATTTGAAAACCATCTTGGAGAATACAAAAATGGAATCTATTTTAAAATGATCCTAAATATGCTAAAGCGACGATCAAAATTTATACGTTAATCTTCTCTAAAAACTTGATGACGTAATTTCAAGATATTGTGTAGATAAATCTTATAATAATAATAACCTCTTTATATGATAATGAACATGTAAAAAAAAAAGAAAAGAGAAAAAAATGAATCTATGTTTCAAATGCTTTAATGAACAATGTTAAATTTTCAATCGTTGACTTGACATTATAAACAATTTGCATCGGTTATAATTACAATATGTACTGTAAAGCTTTGACAACCTATACTCTTCAACTTGACTATCCACATGGATCATTCGTCGTGTCTCAACTACTATCACACCAACACCGCACAAACTTTCCTTTTATAGAAACCAAACTTGCCAGATCGAAGAGTGAAGACTCACTTTCTGTCAAGTGTGCAGTTCCTCGCCGCTCCGCAATCAATAATGCTAATTACGGAATTAGCCAGCTGATTTCAATAAAGCATGTTCTGTGCCGATTGCATCTATTTGGGTTAGGTCGTAATGGTTGACGGGCGACTTCCCTTGACGCATAATCTGCTTACGACGTCCATTAACCTGGCTGATTTATAGTCAATAGAATATTCACGGCGGATTAGTGCTCCGATTTGCAAGTTTGAGAACTGCTGCTCACAACTTTATAAATAATTCCGGACCGTTGTAACTATAAATCGAGAGTTGAAGAACAGTTCAGTTCCATAACAATCTAAGTAGCTAATTTCTAATCAGCGGAACATTTCCTGCTCGGCGATTTATAGACTTCTTCGCGTTTTCTACCACTTTCGTTGCGTCTCACGCTCAAAATATTTACCGGTGAGTCTTTGCTTACGATGCCGTGATGCCTCTGATGGAAATTAGATGAGGTGAGGTATTGATGGTTGCTGGTAGAGGACTAATTGGTGTCATTTCTCATATTTTGTTAATGGGATCGTAAATTTCCTAAGCCGGATGAGTAAATTGCGTTCGCTAATGGAGATATGGAAAAGAGTAGCAAAGGATGGCGCGTTCTTAAATTGGATGATCTATGAAAATTATTTGAAGATATAGTGATATTCAGTTCAGATACAAGACTAAGCGAAAGTAAATTAGAAGATCTAAAAACAACCTCGAACAGCAGGAAAAAACTGATTAAGTGAATTTTCAGAAAGTCTTGGTTTTTCTTCTAGGCGTTAGTTCTGGACGATAGTGAGACAAGCAAAGGCTCAAGTGATGGTATTTTTCATTGTTAACCATCGCAAGTTTTTAACTCAGTAACACGATTAAGAGTTTGTTGCACATAAATAAATTGTAAATAAACTGATACAGTGTAGTTACGACATAGTTGCACATATTATTATTTATGCAAATATAAACATAAAAAGTATATTAAAGATTCTAAGTGGTATTTGCTAACAATTTATTATTAAAATTAGATGAAAATACGAAATACATACAGTAGATGCAAAATGTATGGAAAACTTAAAAACAGAGAAAATGGGTCTACTAAAATAAAAACTGCGAAAGTAAAAAGGAAAGAGTTTTATAATAACAAAATTTTTGTCGTTTATAAGAATATCAGTAACAAACTATGACTTTCGATATTTTCCCATAGAAAGCAAAGAGCTTTAAAGAGTTTTGTTCAAAATTTGTCCTTAAAATATAGATGAAATTAATTGCATTAAACCTTAATGCATGTGGTTGATCAAAAAGTGTTGGACCTTATAAGATACATTGAGACAGTGGGGCAACCAGCGAAACCTAAACACTCTAATTTTGATAACAATTGAGAAAAAGTTAATTGTTAAACACTGATTTTTCTTATTTCTCAAATAATGTCTTGGTGAGATGTAAATAACGAGGGTCTTCAATAAAATATTCAGTATTTAAATACAATACTATAAAAATGAATTCTGATTTTCTTCACTTAAAAATTAGGAGTAGCAAAGTTATATTAATAATAATTAATATGTTTCATAAAAACTAAAAATATATCCAAGTCACCAAAAAAAATTGGTAATTTGTTGACTCCTTGACATTATATAGCCACTTCGCACATCAACAAACACTGT